TTGAAATTAAGAATCATAACTATTGGAAGTTACTCACATCAAAAGTCATGATCTCCAAAAGTCATGATTTTCTATATGAAAAGACTCATCTTTTCATCTACTCATTCTCTAAAATATTCCACAATATTCTATACAATTTTCAACAATTTCAAGCATTTAATCATTTTAAATTTGATTTAATTTCTCATTCATCAAGCAAAAAATTCCACTTAAACAATCACTTAAATTAGTCTCAACCAATTTTAAATTTTCCAACATCTCTCACCAAATATAATAACAGCGACCAATCCGTAGAAAGTACAAGACAGCAACCACTGCGGCGTGGTCGCTGAATCTAGTCGCTGGAGATCAATTTCCTTTTTTTTGGATCGTGAAAGTACAAGACAGCAACCACTGCGGAGTGGCCGCTGAATCTCTGGACGCTGGAGATCTATTTTTTTGTAGTGAGAATGGATCACACAGCTCAGATGAGCTGGCGAGATGGAATGCATGGTGTTCATAACTGAAGCGACAATCTCCCTAGAATAGAGCTAATATATGCACATTATTCTTAAGATGAAAATCAAATTTTATCCATACAGAAAGTTACACATTAACATCATAAAGTTACGAAGACGGAGATTATTTATTTCTTGGGAAAACTTGCAAACCAAGTCGACTTTAGTTTCAGAACAACTCTTGCAGAGACTAGTTGATTTAAATGCCCTCACCAGCCCCTCGATTAGGCTCCTCTACTTCTTTGGCTTCGTCAGTGTTGCCTCTGGGTCGGGTCGGGCTATGGCCAACGAGAAGATCCTTTGTTGTTTGGCCAATTTCGACTATAGTTTCGGCAATGTCTTGCAGGTAACTACCTGCTTTTTGTTGCGTATGTCCTCTTCCTCTTCCTGCTTCACCCTCGGGCTGGAAGTACCCCTGGCTTTTTTCAGGAGGTTGAGATTCTGTTTGGTTTTGCCCCTGGAAGTACTCCTGATTTTTCTCGGAGGGTCGAGATTCTCCTTGCTTTTGCTCACCTTCTCGGTCGTGCTTCTCCATGCTCCCCCTTTCGCCCTGCGTCGAAAGAAAAATTGATTCGACATATTATATTAAACAATACTGTACAGTCTGGATGAGGTTCCAAGATGGACATTGCTATTCTATGTGTCCAATCCTCCTACTTGATGGTAGACAGCTTGATATTATTTCTCGGCATTTTTTTAGATCTGTATGACAAATCCGGTTAATATTTTAGTCTACTTCCCTTTGAAGTTCTCTAATCTTGAATGTAAATCCAAATTTTTTTCCTAACCAAGATCCCAAAAAATAAATAAATCTATTCTAAGCAAAAGCACAAACAGCGCAGGTGAGGAGCTTTATCATCCCTATAATAATCACTTCAGAAAATCTTGGTTGGTACCTCAAAATAATCAGATAAGGTGCATGTGTGAAAATTCATCCTCGCAATGTATATAGTTTACCTCTTATCCTGTGAGCATTATAAACCAATGAAAAGAATCAATGCACCCAACAAACGCTAGAATACTCGGAAGAGAACAGATAAACTAGTTAATTATACCTCCTCTTGATGTGATTCATTTGCCGCCTGCTGGGCCTCCGCCTTCTTCCGAGCTGCATACTCGGCCGCTTTCTCTTCAGTTGAGACCACCACATCCTTAGCAGCAGCCAGTTTCTCACTTGCATAGCCAACCACAGTATGTGTAGCACCTGCAACCTTCTCGCCTGTGAATCCTGCAACACTGGAAGTAACACCAGCCACTTTTTTAGTGGACTCAGCCGCCACTCCCGCTGTAAGGTGTGCAGCGCCCCAGCCAGCCACCACCGCCTTTTCCTTCACTGCCCCAGCTACCTTCCCTACATACCCTGCAGTACCTTTGCCGGTTTCCACAGTGACATCTTTTGCGGCAGCTGCTTTATCGACTGTAGCATCCTTGGCTTCCTTGGCTTTTTCCGCTACATATTGAGCAGTAGTTTGGCCCTTTGCTGCAACTACATCCTTCGCTTGCATAGTATAGTCTGCTGCTGTCTTGCCTGAACTTGCTAAGGTGTCTTTGGCAGTGATATACCCTTGTTGGCCCTTTTCAAGGGCAGTGTCCTTTAAAGCTCCACCCTTATTGGCTGCATATTGAATCCCTTGAAGAGAAGTATCTTTTGCTTGGCTTGGAGACTCTTTTGCCTTCTGCAATGCCGTCTCGCCTAATTCTTTCGCCTTCTCGTACCGCTCCTCAGCGGCTCTAATCGCCTCCATAGAGTTCTGCTGTGCCTTTGATCTCATGTTTGAAATCTCCTCCAGTGAAGCCTCCTGTCTTCCCTCGCCGCGACCACCCCCACCACTGCCAGCTTTTTCCTCCATTTCATCCCTTTCCCGATCACCGCCTTCTCTTGCGGTTCGCACTTGAGCACCACTTTTCTCCATTTCAGTCCCTTCTTTGTTGTATTCACGCCCTGCCGACATACCAGAACCCACATGGCCTCCAACTTGGCCAGCAAGAGAATCAAACTCGTGCGGTTTTTCTTCATGTACTCTTCCGCCTCTCGCTTCTCCACCATGAACTGGAACCTCATGGACTGTGGCTTTCACGGTCGGAGTCTCTCTCTCAGCTGCTCCACCATGCAGAACTGGTACCTCATCGCCTTTTGCTTTCACAGCGAGAGACTCAAAATGGGTAGTCATCTTAGGCACTCTATCTTTCTCCACCTCAATGTTACGTTCATCAGTAACATTCTCTCTCCTCAGCTTCTCAGACGCCATTGATGATCTTTTTGTGTATTTTTAATGAAACTGTGTGCGTAATTAGATGGAATTGTGGGAATTCAAAAAGGAGGAAGAAGGGTATAAAAACAATTGGTGAAGGGATCAGGCGGTTCAAAATTGATTAGTGTTAACAGTTGAAGATTGACATGTGGAGCCTCAGCTCATGCAACGTGTTGGGGTTACAAAGACTTGAATTTGGTGATTAGGCATTAGAGTGTAACCCAGTTGGGCACGTGTCAGATCATGGCCAACTTGGTCAATAAGATTGGGCTTCAAAATTATAAGGTTTTTTTTTTTTTATGAAAATTAAGTTTTCATTTCAAAATATTTAATAAAAACATGAACTAAAAAGAAATATCAATTCAAATTTTATGCCAATTATATTGCAATTGTAAGTGTTATGATAAATATTATTTTAAAATTTTAAAATTAATATGGCAGAAATGTGAAGAGTTTAGAAAAATTAAGAATTTGAGAGAATACTATAAAATCAAGCCGTGTAAAAATTAAAATATTTGATGAATTTTAATTACCTTTAAACATATAAAGAATTATATATTAATAAAAAAAGGTGCTAAATAAAGAAATAAAATGGAATAAAAAAACATATTTTAAATATAATGTACTAAGAATTTTTAATTAATATAAAGGAAAAGGTAAAATGAGAAATGAATTAAGCTTCGTGTACCGAAGCTGCTTCACAGGTATGTTACAGGAAATTCAAAAATAGTCAAGGTGGCAGCCAAGAAAGGAAAAAAAAAAAACAAAAAGGAAATAAAAATAAAAAAGCGGGAATTTACTGAGTATACCCGGCAAACTAGGCGTGAACACCCATTTTCTCTCCCGAACACCTCACTTCACCGCTTTCACCCACATCTTCCAACCGGCGTGAACACCCATTTGGTCAACCCATCCTCTCCATCGACGGCTAACCAAAGCGGGAAGCTACTAAGTATACCCGGCAAGTATGGCGTGAACACCCATTTTCTCCCCCAAACGACTCACTTCACCGCTTTCACCCAGATCTTCCAACCGGCGTGAACACCCATTTGCTCAACCAATCCTCTCCATCGACGGCTAACCAATCGGCGCTGTCATCTGTCAACCCATCCTCTCATCACTGGCTCTGTTCCGAGACCAATCGGCGCTCCATCGACTGGTAACCCCGAATCCCCCTCTTCCACCGGTCGTTCACCAAGGAAATTACACCCACCGTAAGCGACAAGTCTTTCTCAGTTCCGAGCAAAAATTTGGACTGGCCAGTATATGTTTTTCTCAGCTCTGTTTGCCCCATGTGAGAGTCTCACTATATTGTTATGTATTTTTATGTTTTACCTGTTGCACATTATGAGATTGTTAGAGATGGAAAAAAATACTGCACTTCATACACTGAAATTGAAGCTGACAAAAATGCACAATTCCAGATTAATTCAATGAACGGTAGAATACATTGAAGAAAACAGAAATTGTAAATATCCTGAAGTTGAGAAAACAGAAATGCTTCTGGAACTAATTTTCAGCTTATTCTTTTGTACATATGGATTCTCATACTGAAATTCTAGTTTACTGCTTATTTTGTTGCAGCATAGGAAATTATGGAAGATGTCAGTGATGAGTTTTTGTCGGAGTTTGATAGTGAGAATATTGCACAGAATTTCATCACAGTGGAAGAAGAAACGTTAGGACGAGATGGTCCGATTGTGCCTGCGGTGGGTATGATATTTAAGGACGAGAAAGAATTGTTCGACCTCTATAAGAGATATGCCTATGATGTTGGTTTTCCAGTTCGAAAAAGAAACTCAAAAAAGGGGGAGAACGGAGTATTGAAATATGTGACGCTTACATGTAGTCGTGAAGGCCGAAGAATTAGTAATGCAAGCGGCTCTTTCAATCCTCAACCGATGAGTCAGACAGATTGTAAAGCAAGAATATATGCTTCTTCAGATAGGCATGGAATGTGGAGAATTAACAATGTGCACCTTGACCATAATCATGCAACTAGCCCTTCCAAGTCTAGGTTGTATCGGTGCAACAGAGAGTTGAGTGCAAACGTGAAGCGAAAACTTGAAGTGAATGATTTGGCAGGAATCCCATTTCACAAGAGTTACAACTCCGCAGTTGTAGAAGCTGGTGGATATGAGAAAATGACTTGTGTGGAAAAAGATTGTCGTAATTATATTGACCAAGTGAGGCGACTGCGACTTGGAGAAGGAGATGCGGCCGCAATACAATCTTATTTTTCGAAAATGCAAGCACAGTGCTCGGGTTTTTACTTCAGTATGGATGTAGATGATGAGTCTCGACTGAAGAACGTGTTTTGGTCTGATAATAGGTGTAGGCAGGCATATAAGGAGTTTGGTGATGTTGTTACATTTGATACCACTTACCTCACAAATAAGTACGACATGCCATTCGCAGCTTTTGTAGGTGTGAATCATCATGGGCAATCAACATTATTTGGTTGTGGATTGTTATCGAACGAGGACACGGATACCTTTGTCTGGCTGTTCAGGACATGGCTTCAGTGCATGCACGATCAAGCACTACATGGAATAATTACTGATCAAGATAGGGCCATGCAAAATGCAATTGAGATCGTTTTCCCCGATACAAAGCACAGGTGGTGTCTGTGGCACATTTTGAAGAAGTTGCCGGAGAAGTTTGGCTATCACGTTGATAAAAGTTCGATATTTTCAACTATACATCACTTGGTTTATGATTCACAAACTACTGAAGAATTCGAAGAAGGTTGGAAACATATGATCGATACGTATGAGTTGCTTGATAATGCTTGGTTGTCTGGATTGTATGATAATAGAGGTCGTTGGGTTCCGTGTTTTTTGAAGACTAATTTCTGGGCTGGGATGTCGACAACTCAACGAAGTGAGAGTATGAACGCGTTCTTTGACGGTTATGTCCATTCCAGGACCTCTTTGAAACAGTTTGTGGAACAGTATGAACGAGCACTGAGCTCATTTCAACTCTTCCTCCAGGTCGCTGATTTCAGGTCATACTCACAAATTGTACCGTGTGCAACGAATTATGAAATTGAAAAACATTTTCAATCAGTTTATACCATTGCGAAGTTCAGGGAAGTCCAAGGTGAATTCAAGGGTAAAGTGTATTGCGACCTCATGTCTGCATCAGAGGGATCTTCTGGGATAATGTATGAGGTCCATGAGGATGTCCTCTATGAAAGCGGAAGGAAGAAGAAGACTTTTTATGTCTCACTTAAGAGGGAGAGTTGTGAATTTATATGCAGCTGCCACTTGTTCGAATTTCGAGGTATTATTTGTAGGCATGCGATTACGGTTTTGATTCGGAATGGTTGTTTACGATTACCTGAGCAATACACACTGCGTCGGTGGAGGAAAGATGTCAACAGAGCACATACAAGGGTTTCCGTGAATTATGATGGTTTGGTTAGCACTCCAGGACAGTTGAGATATGATAGTATGTGTCATGCTTTTGCGGAGGTTGCTAACCTTGTTGCAGATGATGAAGGGCGAACACGTGCGATATTGGATTGGATAAAATCGCAAACTACGGAGTTGATGTCGAAAAAGTGGTCAAGTGGGTGTAACATCGTTTCACAGCGTACTATGCATTTATCCTCTCAGTTTACTGATAGTCAACCCACTGCTAGCGACAGCATACGAGATCCAAAATGCATAAAGAGAAAGGGCGCACCCCGGAGACTTCGGAGAAAAAGTCCACTGGAGTTGTCATCTAATAAATCACAGGTTTGTTTGTTTGTTCACATCTCAAGTGCATTAGAAACCAAATTCAAATTATTATTTCAGTTGAACGTAAATGTAGGCAAGTATGACGTCAACCAAACGAAAGAGACCGAGCTCGAGGAAAAGTAATATGGAAGCGGCTGAACCTGAATTGGATGCATCAAAAGAGCAATGTTCGACACAAACACCATTGTCATTTTCACAGCTATTGTTGGTGAGTACATTCATAGTAATTACCAATTTTTTAAGGTTTTATTTAAAAAGTAGCATGGTGTAGGGAGACGCCGGAAGACATGCATTTATACAACCCTTGCTAACGTCAAATGTGATCTCTCCAACGTCAACAAATGTTATATTCAATACAGAAGGTGATGACATGTTTAATTCATTACATTCGAAGACATATTTGTTCATGTACATGTACTAATTTCCATATTATATGACAGGTCATCCATTTTCATACTGCTATTCAGATATGCCTTAGCATGGTGGTCCGCCTTTTTGATAAATATTATTTTGGTAGAGTTATTTTGGTAGAGTTATTTTATCCACTCCGTTTGTGTTTCTCAAAATAATATATTTGTCCTTTCAGGTAGTAACTAATTTGTTTCGCCATGCAAATCATCGAGGATCATGACTGGAATAGTTGTGCTCAGCACTCGTGCAATGCTTGAAGATAAATTGTCTTGGTGCCATACCTTTTTGATGGAAGTTTTTTGGTCCACTTACACAATGGCACACAATGGCTCTTGATTGCAACTATAACGTGCTGACTATTTTTGTAACCTTTTTTGTCCACTTACACAATGGCTATTCCACGGCAGCCATAACATACAGATTATTTTTGTAATTGCTGTGGTCCAATTTTTTTGTCTTTTTGTAATTGGTAGTCTTCAGCAATTGGTTAATTCTAATGACATAGTGATTATTTTTGTAATAGTTGTGGTCCACTTTTTTGTCTTATTGTAATTAGTAGTCTTCATCCAGTGGTTAATGAAGTTTGTAATTGGTAGTCTTCAGCAAGTGGTTTTTTATCCAATTTTTCATTCCCTTAAGCTGTACACCGATTTCATTGCAGCACATATATTATGGAAAACTACACTATGAAGAGCTTATTTCTTGCACATTTTAGCACAGGAATTAAACCTCAATTGGAAGAAGCTTCCATTTACCATCAATTCATAAACATAATACTTAACGAAGGCACGTAAATGCATGCACAATAAATTCCTACTGTTACCGACGCAAAATACATAG